AACTCCATAAGTGATTACCTTATTACACGTTTTCCTATCTTCCAATTATCTAATATTTTTCTGAATACAAGTGGTGTATACAGATTACAAGAAATTTTTCTCCAATGTGTTATCAGAGAATAGAGATAGATTTTTCGAGATGTCTTCCTCCTTCCTTTCTGCCTCCTTTTATAGAAGATTTTTGAATCTTATCTTGGACAGGTGTTTTCCACCTTTCTTTGTTGGGTAGCTGGGCCATCTTATCTCCACCGAATTCTTCATTGTCTTTTTGATGGGTGGACCTCTTATCTTGAAATTGGATGCCTTATCTTTTATCTTTGTCTGCCACTTGTGACCATTGGTAGGAAGTAGTCACAATTATAGAGACTTTTCTTGATTTATCTTCTGTCTTCTAGTAGCCACAATTTTTCTTTAATAAATTTCTTTATTAAAGTAGTGATAAAAGGCTACTTTAGTCACCATCACTTTTCCATTTTCGAATCAAAGAATTCTGCAGGGAATTCTTCATCATTAAGAGATGCTTGACTCATATATTCAACAACACAGTATTCACAATGGTGATCACTGTAATTCCAAAGTAATTTGCATAGTTCTTTAGCCATATCTTCTGATCTGTGTACTTGGTTGGATATAATTGCAGATAATAAATGATCAAGATAACAAATATCTTCTTCTTTGGTATCCATCCTTGCATTGGAATAAATAATATGATCTTTAGATGGATAAACCCATATTTTTTCTTTTTCAGTAATTATTTGAGTTACATGTTCAAATATCTCTTTATACCCTTTGGCTCTTCTATAGGGCATCATATTAAGAATATCTTGATAACCATTTTTAACAACCTTTTGATTGGCTGGTAAAAAATGTTGATTTGTTAATCCCATTTTGATCACATGGAACGATGGATGCATATATTCAAGGATAGGATCCCATTCCATTGTTGCTGAATGGAATCTGATATATATATTTGTTGTTTTAACAACTTCAGTATATCTCTTGATAGCTTTCCTGATGTTGACTGGAAGCTGAGCTATTTCTTTGAGATCTTTACTAGGATATATACAAAGTATATTTCCTATTTCAAAGCAATTTCGAACCCAGTTGGCTGGTGCTCCTGGATAAAAGTTTATCTTGTTGTATTTCGAATAGTGGAGAGTCTTCATCCACTTTCCAATCTCCAGATACCAATCTGATAGAATATTAAAAATAACAATAAAGAGTATTACTTCTTCGTGGTTATCTTTTTTGGGCATTTTTGCTTCATGACATATCTTAACAATATTTTTGGGATCTATCCTTTCAATAGAAAGTTTAGATTGAGTTTGGCTCTGTGAAGAGCTACCTTAAGTATTCCCTGTGAAGGGGTTCCTATTACCTTCTTTTCTTTCCCTTTATCCTCGGGGAGAGCGCTAGTATTCACAAGTCCCTGTGAAGGGATACTAGTCTTGGTACAAATATCTTCTGCCTCATGGACTAAATTCTTGCCTCGAAGACTATCTTGGATATTTTGAATTTGGGTTTCCAAATAGGAAACTTTTATCTCAAGTATCTGGACTTTCGTCCTTAATTGTTCTAGCTCCATCCCTGCTAAGATAATCAGGAAGAAAGTTAGATTTTCATTTAATATATTCAATATCAAATTTGAAGTATGAAAACCAAATCTGTATCCTAATTATATATCTATTAGTCATAGATGGATCAACATTATTTTTCAAAAATACTTTAACTTGAGTATTATCAGTTCTGATCAAAAACATTTTTGGTAATAAATAATCTTCATATTTTTGAACTCCTCTTTTTACAGCAATGAGTTCCTTTCTATTCGTCTCATATCTTGTTTCAACTTCTTTGAATGTTCCTGATGTATAACCTACAAGTATTTCAGGACAAGAACAATCTTTTTGACACTTATATTCCTTATGATTCTTTCTAACCTTTAATACTGCTCCCCAATAGTAATCTGAAGCATCAGTTTCTAGGATGAAAAAATCTTCTTCTTGGGGTATTACAAGTTTGGGCAATACCTTTAATTCTTCTTTTACCTTTCTTATATTTTCACAATCTTGCTTTTCCCAAGACTACATTATATTTTTTCTTAATTTTGGAAGAAAATAATTTTTCAATTTGGCACAATTTTCAATGAATCCTTCAGCATAATTTAATATACCAAGGAAGCTTTGTAATTGTTTTTTATCTTTGATTTTTTCAGGAAATTCTTGAAGCTTTTCTCCAATATGGGATTGCAATTGCAATTCTCCTTCTTTTATAAATAATCCTAGGAATTCTATTTCTGTTTTAGCTAACTCAGCTTTCTTTTGAGAAAGTGTAATACCATGTTTTTTCATAATATAACAGAATTTCTCAAGATGCTCAATATGTTCATCAATATTATTTGAATGAATAAGTAAATCATCTACATATGCAATACAAAAATGAGTAATTGGTTTGATTACCTCATCCATTCTTCTTTGAAATATCTGTGGTGCATTTTTCAACCCAAATGGCATTACATTCCATTCGTATTGTCCTAAAGGATTGGGGGTACTAAATGCAGTTAGTGATTTACTTTCTTCTGTAAGCATGATTTGCCAAAACCTTGACTTACAATCAAATTTTGAAAATATCTTTTTTGTTCTGTACTTGTTTAATAAGGGTATCCTTATTTGGCAAGTAGTATCCATCAAATTTGGTAACTTCATTTAATTTTTTGTAGTTTATTACCATTCTGGCTTCTCTATATGCAATTATAACAGCTTTATTTATTTTTGGTGTAAATATTTTATGTGCACAAGGTGTTATGAACATATACTTATCAATATATTGTGTGAATGGAGCATATTTTAATAGGAAATTTTGTCCTAATAAAATATCACATCCAATTGTGGTTGACATATATATTGTATCAACAAATACTTCTCTAAAAGAGATTAGAAAAGGTACTTGAGTAGCATACTGACTATATATTACCTTATTTCCACCTGCTGTTGTAGCAGTTACTACTTTCTTTGAATTATATCTCCAGTATTCAGATGGTAGTACATTTGGTAAACATAAACTTATTGTACTTCCTGTATCTAAGTACGCGTGAAATTTAATTCTACAATAATCTTTTATATTGAGTGTAATTTCAATATATGGGCTCATGGGATTAGTACTTATTACTCTTTCCATGATAATAATGATTTCATATTTTCATCTATTCTTGGAATGATAATTGAATTATCATCAACTGTTATTTTCAAATATCCTTGGCATATTTTATAAGGACTATATTTCTCAAGAAAGTTCATTCCTAGCAGAATAGGTGAACGATCCACTCCATATAATTCATCTTTATATAGAATTATTTCTTTAGTATATTCTTTTTGATCCTCTCCTATAAGTATAAGAGGGAACTTAACATATTTTCTGATTTCAAGATTATTTCCTAAATAATCCTTAAAAATATATGGTTCTGGTATTTCAAAATCTATTAGATGACTAACAAACTTAGCATTTACATGACTTTTATCTGCTCCAGTATCTATAAGGACAAGAAGATTTTTCTTAAATCCTTCTTGGTTTACATATCTTGTCTTAATGTAATATTGTGAACTTGATGGTTCAGTAATACTTAAATTTTTAAGTCTGCTTATCCTAGAGTCTTGTCTAGAGGGAAATCTTGCAATAAGATTGTCTCCTTCTAAGCTGACACTATTTCTTCTTATTAATTTTCCTTCAGAATTAATTTCTTTTGCTTGTTTATGAAAATCAAGCATTATTTGTTCTGGTATCGTAACTTCATGTTCTTGATATTTCCTAGGAGGTATGTATTGTGCTAATTCCTCAAAATCTTTATGTATTATTATGTTATCAGTGATTTTCCTTAAATTGTGATGATGGCTAGTACTAAAAGCAAAAATTGATTTTATACTAATACTAATAGCCTTACTTCTTCGTAACATTTTTAAATTTTCAATTCTATAATATAGATTGAAACTTTGATCAATATTTTCATTACTCAATGATATAGCATAATTTGGTTTTACTGTAAATAGTATCTTTTGATAGACTAAATTTCCTACAACTTTTCCTAATAGAGCATCTATAAGATCTTGTAAGATTCTATTGTCCATACAGTATATTTCTGTTGGTATATTCATACCTTCTCTAAAAAATCCTTTTACCATTATCTGGACTCCTCCTAATTCAATACATTTTAATTTGTTCCTTACATTTTCTGGGATTTTAGATAATTTTTGTTTTACCCATTCTTTTGTGATTATAGGAATTCTTGCATTTCCTATAGTATCTTCTATATTGATAGACATTTCTTTATAATTCATACTAACAATTGTTTTATTTACCCTTGGTAAAATTCCTAAGAATCCTTGATGAAATACATCTTTTTCTTGTAGATCTAATATCTTTTTAGTGATTCCTACATATTTTTAATATCAAAAGTTATTTCCTGATTAATACCTTCTATAGAATTTTCAACTTCTTCAGTTGTTTCTATTTCTATTTCTGATTGTTGTATCTCTTGATTCATATATACTATCTCCTCATAATCTTCTTCTGATGAAGATGTATCTAATTCATAAATACTACTGCATTCACTACTTAAATCTCCAAAATATTCAATTGGTTCTATATCACTATCTTCTTGGAATTTTTCATAAATTCTAAGAGTTTTTATATTTTGTCTATCTTTCTTTTTAGGACATTGAGGGGCAATATGTCCTTCTTCATTACAAATGAAACATCTACATTTTTTAATGTTTCTTGGTTTAAATTTCTTATTCCAATTTCTTTTCTTGAAATATTTTTTATGTGGTTTAAAATTCCTTTTATTGAATTTTTTATAGTTTTTGAATTTTCTTTTATATTTCTTATATGGTCTATATTTTTTCTTATGGCATCCAAATTGTTCAACTTGGCCATTATCTTTATAACAACATAATGAATTCTTTCTTATTTTATAAGCTTTCTTATTTTCTAATGCTTCTCTGCACCACATTCCTATCATTCTTCTTGTAAATTCAATTCTACTTCCAAGACTATCTATTTCAACTCCTTCCTCTTTTCCTAGAGGTAGTAATTTCTCATATTCTTTTAGTAACTTGATTCCCCATGGGAATGGTAGCTTGGTAAAATAAGACCTTAAAATAGGTTTATTTTCCCGATAATCTCCTTGATTAAGTATGTAGTATAATTCTTCAAATTTACATGTATATCTTTCTAACTCACACATATCACATATCTTTAAATTTTCCATTAAAATCATTCATTGGTTATATTCATCTTGTTTTCTTTCTTCTTCATTAGAAGCATACCTATCTCCTAAGAATTCTGTTCTTAAGATTTTTTCAAGTCTTTTTAATATTTCCTGTATATTTTGTTCATTTAGAGTATTCCTATTATCTAATACCTCAGTTCTATTTGTTCCATATTTTATTCTTCCTTTAATAATTTCTGGTAACTTTCTCCACCATTCAGAAACAATTCCTCTGAATGTATGTTCTATAAATCCAAAAGCTGTATATGTTTTCCATTTGTTAAATTGTATAGCTAAATCTGTACTTTTTATCCATGTTTCAATAGCTTTATCCTTATCTACACAGTCTAAATCTAACCATACTCCTGTTGTGTGAATTGATTCATTATAAGATTTCATTAGATTTATTTCTTTTATGGATTGTTTTCTTACATTTCCAGTGTATCTTTTCTGTGTTTTTCTATATTGATTAAGACCATCTTTAAGTGGTATTGTAGTAGCATAAGGATAATCTTGTTCTTCATCACTACTAAATTCTAATTTTAGATCATGACTTGAAGATGGATTAGTATTCATTTTTATATTTTCCATTTTTTCAGCTAATTCTTCTAACTGTTTTTTATATTCTTCATACTCTTCTCCTGTAGATTCTAAGAATTTTTGTTCTATTTCTTCTACATCTGTAATCATATATTGTTTTTCTTCATGCTTTTTTCCTTTATTATTTTCTTTTTGTGTTGTCCTAAAATCTTGGGGTGGATTGATTATAATCCTATCTTTTCCTCTAAGGTTTTTATCTAATAGGGCATTTCCTATTTGCAGATTATGTTCTAGATTCTCTAATCTTTTATGTATATCCCCAAAATTTTCATTTGTGGTATTCTTACGTAAATAAGGATAACTAGGTTTTTTATGTTTTTCAACTTTTTTCAAAAATTCTTCTATTATATTTTCCTCATCTACTATATTCATCATTATTTTTGGTTCGTAACCTGGCTCTGATACCATTTTTTCGGAGTGTACAGCGGAGGGGTTAATATTTTTAGATTCTTCATAAGTATTTAAAATGTCACAATAGAATTTATAAAATTCACTATTTTTTATTAATACTTTTTCTTGAATGATTATGTTTAATTTTTCAATTCTCCTTCTTAAATTAAGAATTAATTTATATATGTCTTTTTCCATTTTGATTGCTTCGTTATCTATGGAATCATTTTTATTTTTTATTTTTGGGTCTAAATATTCTATAAAGAAGTCTTTCAGATCTTCTTCTAGATAGATTAATTCGTTTTCTGTATAGATTTTTAGATCAATAAAATTTTGTATAATATTTGGATCTAGATTTATTAAAAATTTATGATCTATATTTTCTTGAGGACCTATTTGAAAGTTTTTAGACATTGTAGTGGCTTTGGTTGCAATATCTTTATTAAGGGTATTTTTGGAAAATTGATTGTTTGGAGGCTAATTTTCAAATGTTTTTATTTCTTAGACTAATTTGGAAAATCCTCCTTCAATTTAAGCCATTAAGCTGTATTTCCCTCAACGACGACCATAGTGGAACTGCAAGTGATGAAGTGGGCAGCAGATTAGGTTTCCAAACTGATTATCAGAAACCGTAAAAATTGGATTCAACAACACAAATACACATTATTTAAAAGCAAACACAAATATTGCCCTTGTTTGAGTTCCATTTTGAGAGAAAATAAGAATTTTTGAATAGTGTATTAATGAAAAATATGTGGTTCAAAAATAAGAAAATGTTTTGAATTTGCGTGTAATATTATTTTATTAAAAAATGTGTGGTTGAAATGATATTAAAACACTGTAGAAGAATTCATTATTTAGGACACAACAATGAGTAAACTAAAATTTTTTATTTAGAATTTTTGGAGAATGTGTGATTAAAAAGTTTTTTATTTAGAATTCATGCAATTTTTATTCACGGTGGGTCCCACACATGAGAGTAATCTAGCCAAATTCTGTGGAATTTTTTTTGTACAAATGGCATTCTCTACAGTGTTTAAGGTTTAGGCAGAGGGTTAGGGTTAGGGTTAGGGTTAGGGTTTAGGGTGCAAGGAATTATATCCTCATCAAGTAAATCAACCTCTTACTTAGCTACCAATTCGAGGAAACGGAAATCAATTAAATGACAAGATTTCACGAGAAGCGATGGTACCTTGCAAACACTGATTAAGTGCGATGCCGCAATGGCGAAAACTCTTGTGTCCAAGCAACCGGTTATTGCACGAAAGCCAAAGCAATTTTTGGTTGAGAAGTAGACTGAAGTAGAAGCCGTAGGTATAGCCCTTAGTCCGGTCGGATTCCACAGATTAAACTTTCGATTGATGAATTTTGAAGGAGATTATGAGTACAATGAATGAAAAAAAATGGATTGGGGAAGGTTCCCCGGATTAAACCTTGGATTGATGAATTTTGGAGGAGATTATGAGTACGATGGAAAAGAAAAAATGCATTGAGGAAGAACAACTAAACAAAGGAGGAATCGCTATTCTTATTATCAACAATGCTACTACTACAAAGGTGGATGACCAAATAGGTTGACAAAGACACGTGTACAGTCGAGATCACTTCTTTCGGACGGTTGAGATTTTACAACATCCAAGTGAGAGAAACTCAGTTGCATTAATTCCACCAAAAAGTTGCAAATGACAGCGAGCTCGCCTTTTGACCACCCCACAACATTTCAGCAGGGATTTTACAAGAACAAGTGGGACTTTAGGCGCCAAACTCCACCAACAATCGGTAATAACAATAAAATCCCCTTTTTGCTCCATGAAATTGAAGCAAAAAATTTAACATTTCGGGCAACATAGTGTAGCAAAAATTCAACATTTTCCCCACATAATTTAGCAAAAATCCGACGAGCAAGTAGCGAGAAACGTAGCATTGACGCGATTTCGGAGCTCCCATCTCCGGTCCATCTTCTCTACTCCAACCTCTGGCAAAACAAGGTGTGGATACTTTTGTTTTGAAGGTTGGAATTTCTTGGTTATGTTGAGCTGAAATTATTTTGGTAGTGGCTAAAATTTTTTTACAAACTTGGAGATAGATAAAAAAAAAACAAAAAAAAAAAACCTACACAATAATTTTTTCTAACTATTTCTAGCTTTGTTTATGAGTTGTAGATATCCCTATTAATGAAAGTAGAAATTCGAAGCTTTTAATTTCTGGCATTATGGCATTGAAGATACATATGTTGTTTTACTTTAATAATAATAATAATAATAATAATAATAATAATAATAATAATAATAATAATAATAATAATAATAATAATAATAATAATAATAATTGTGTGAGAGAAAAATGCTGTAAATAATTTGAATGTTAGGCTAACAGAAAACTCAAAATCCACAGAGACATATATCTAGTGGATTTTGAGTTTTATCTAGAATTCTATATTTTTTGGTTCGTAAACATTTTATATATTAATAAATAGTTTGTTGGGTTATGCAGAAGAAAAAAGTATGGAAGATGCTTCATTCGTTGAATTTGAAAATGATAATGTGGACGACAATGTAAACATTGTGGAAGAGGAAACTGTAGGAAGAGATGATTTTACTGAGCTTGAGGTCAGTATGCAGTTCAAGGATGAAAAAGAAGTGTATGATTTTTATGCAAGATATGCTTATGTCGTGGGTTTTTCAATTAGAAAGAGGAGTTCAACGAAGGATGATGATGGTGTTTTGAGATATATCACATTTACGTGTAGTCGGGAAGGACGAAGAAGCAATAATACAAGCAAAACTATGAAGCCGCAACCAACAATTCAGACAGGTTGTAAAGCTAAAATCTTTACATCTTTTGATATCCATGGTTACTGGAAAATTAATACAGTCCACCTTGACCACAACCATAAGACAAGTCCTACTAAGTCCAGGTTGTATCGATGTAATCGAGAATTAAGTGCACACGTTAAACGGAAGCTTGAAGTGAATGATATGGCTAGAATACCATTGCACAAAAGTTTTAACTTTGCAGTGGTCGAAGCAGGGGGCTACGAGAATATGACATGCATGGAAAATGATTGTCGAAACTGTATTGAACAAGTGAGACGACTAAGACTTGGCGAGGGTGATGCAGTAGCAATACAGTCTTACTTTTGTAAAATGCAAGCACGGTGCCCGAGATTTTACTTTAGTATTGACTTAGATGACGATTCACACCTGAAGAATTTTTTTGGGCAGACAATCGATGCAGGCAAGCTTACAAGGAGTTTGGGGACGTTGTTACATTTGATACTACTTACCTTATAATAAGTACGATATGTCGTTCGCCCCTTTTGTTGGCATAAATCATCATGGACAATCAACATTGTTGGGTTGTGGTTTAGTATCAAATGAGGACACGGATACATTTGTATGGTTATTCAAGACATGGCTCCAGTGTATGCATGGTCAAGCTCCACATGAAATAATTACTGATCAAGACAGAGCCATGCAAAATATAATTCAGATAGTCTTTTCAAATACATAGCATAGATGGTGTTTATGGCACATTTTGAAAAAGTTGCCAGAAAAGTTTGGATACCATGTTGATAAGTTTTCGATATTTTTGGCGATATACATTTTGGTGTATGATTCACAATTCGTCCAAGAATTTGAAGATGGTTGGAAATCAATGATTGATACATATGACTTACATAACAACGATTGGTTTCGGGATTATATGAGAATAGAGGTCGTTGGGTTCCATGTTTCTTAAAAACAACTTTCTGGACCGGGATGTTAACAACGCAAGGAAGTGAGAGTATGAACGCCTTCTTTGATGGTTATGTACATTCCAAGATATCATTGAAACAGTTTGTAAAACAGTACGAATGTGCACTGCGGAGTAAGGTAGAAAAGGAATTTCAGGCGGATTTCAAGTCTTTCTCTCAAATGGTACCGTGTGCAACAACGTACGAAATGGAAAAAATAATATCAGAAAGTGTACACCATTTCGAAGTTCAGAGAGGTTCAAGGTGAGTTTACTAGGAAGGTTTATTGCGACCTCATATCTACTTCGGAGGAACATATGGGGACGACGTACGAGGTAAGTGAAGATGTTTTATTGGGCGATCGACGAAAGAAAAAATGTTTCTAGTCTCATTCAATAGAGAAAAATGTGAGATCATTTGGTAGATGTCATTTGTTTGAGTTTCGAGGAATAATATGCCGGCATACGATCGCAGTGTTCATACGTAATGACGTGACAATAATACCGGATCGATATATACTGCAAAGATGGAGGAGAGACATCAATAGAGCTTATATGAGAGTCGTAGCTAATTACAATGGGTTAGTTAGTACTCCTGGACAATGAGGTACGATGACTTGTGTCAGGCATTTTCCAAGGTAGCAGACCTTGCAACAGATGATGAAGGGCGATATCGTGCGATAAAGGATTGGATACAAATTCAAAATAAAGAGCTTAGTTTGACAAAGTCGAGTTCATGTAGTCATACTATTTCAAAGTGTATTGTACCTGAAGATCCTGTGAGTGAGAGCGTCAGGGATCCAAAATCGACGAAGACGAAGGGGGCGCCTAAGACAAAATGGAGAATAGGCCCGTTGGAGGTGAGCGCTAAGAAATCAAAGGTATATTCTTATGTTATACTCTTTTATACATTGGATGTGAGCACTAAGAAATCAAAGGTATATTCTTATGTCAGACTCTTTTATACACTTCATTTTATACACTAAGTAATATTCGTTTATGGTGTACATGAAGGTAGGATCGGAGTGAACCAAAGGAAAGAGACCAACATCGAGGCATAGTAGTATGGACAATGGTGTACCCGAGGTTCCACCTCCTCTTCAACAACAATATTCCATGCCGATGCCGTTCTCGTATTCACAACTCCTCTTGGTTAGTATATTAATTATAGCATTTAGTAAGCACATTAAGTTGTATTAACGCTTCTGAGTTCATATAGGTTGATGGGCTGAGTCATGTGTGCACACAACAACTGTTGTCTTCTACTTCAATCCCTCCTACGACGACAAATCTTATTTTCAATTCACAAGGTACATAAATTTTAAAATAAGAACCTTTGAATTTGAATATTTCCACGAGATTAATTGTGTTTTGATTTGCACATTGCGATCCCGTACAGCTATCCATATTTACTGCATCATGGTGGGACCATTTGAATTCAAGCGAACAGATGATGTACTGATGGGATTATTTCTCTCACCTTCATTTTTTGATATGGGCAGTTGAAGTGTCATTATTGTTCATATTGTAGTTGTATACTTTGTAACTGCGGCATAGCTTTTGTTCAATAACGGTCTTAGAATTGTGGCTCTAAGGTGATATGCATATGCAATATGAAGTGTTATTAGTATTGTGCTCGAAAGATACATTATATTCATCCAATGTGCTTTGAGGCTGGCAATATTTTTTTATTAATTCTAAGTGGCCAGAATATTTTTGACTTGAAGTTCTCTAACTTCTTACTGTTAATTCTCTTTTCTATGCTATTGAAGATTACTCGTTAAATTCATGATGGGTTCACTTTATTAGTAAGTGAGAGGTTGTTTTATGGGGTTGATGAGGCAGTTTTAGAATACTTTTGTTGGAGGAAAAAAAATACAAAATGCTACTTGTTGCATTCGAACAAAAAATAAAAAACAAAGAGAAAAGTGGATTAATATTTGGAAAAGATGTGATATTTGGGTCTTTGCAAATATGAATTCATAGTTATAATTAAAAAATGTTGGAGGACATAATGATTCATAGTTATAATTTATGTTTCGTACTTCATCCTATTTTGCAAGTCCGTTGGATGGTTAGTAATCTTCTTAGGGTGTAAAACCCATGTGCTACCATTGAGTATAAATTGCTGTCATGTGCTGATTAATCATCGTATAACGTGGCATAGTTTGTGTTTGGATCTCAAAGCCTACACTTCATTGATTTTCTCACAAATTTTAATTTTCTGGTTCGGGAATGTTCGAATATTTCATGAATACATAACCTACTAAAAAGTGGACTAATACATAATCTATTAAAAAGTGAAAATTCAAAAATCGGTGGTGAAGGTAAAAGAAACGAGAATCCAATATTTTTGAATTTCTTGTGAAATCTCGACTCAAATGTTGTGGTGTGGTCAAAGGTTGAGCTCACTGTAATTTGCAGCTTTTTGGTGGAATTAATGCAACTGAGTTTCTCTCACTTGGGTGTTGTAAAATCTCAGCCGTTCAAAATTAAAATGGGTGGAATAGTAATTTTTGAGAATAAGTGGTTGAAAAAAATAAAAAATTTTCGATTTATGTGTAATATTATTTTATAGAAGATTGTGTGATTGAAAATATGAGATATAAAAATGAAATTTAATTTAACGGGGGCCAAATGTCAACTTGAATGTACACAATTGATGTACAAATGGCATGACTTTTAAAAAAAATATTAGGTTATGTTTTATTACCAATATTTTTCATGAAAAATGTGCTTTTTCACCCAATTTCTTCTTTTTGTGCTATTTGAAATTTTCATGAAAAGCATTTTTCCTACTTTTGGTCATGTGACCATATTTTACTCAAAATCAAGGAAAACGAGGAAAATATTTTATTTTTTTTAGGGAGAGTAGGATTTTATTTTTCAGTAAATTCACTCTCTCTGTACCCGTCGATAAAAAATGGATAAGTATAAAATTTTCTAATTTGAAAATTAAATCGATGAAATTAACATGGAAATAAAATAAATTCTAGCAATTCAATTGCCTAAAACTTATTTACATGAAAATTATCAATTAAATGCATTTGATTGATTTAGTTTTTAACCTAAAAAATATTATACTTGTTCATTTTTTATTGTGAATAATTAGAGAGAGAAAGAGATAGTGAATTACCTAAGAATTAAAACACCCCTCATCCCTCAAGAAATATTTTCCTTGTTTTTAAGGAAAATATGGTCACATGACCAAAAGTTAAAAAATATTTTCCATAAACACTATATATACATGCTATTTTATATATTTATAATTTATCACATCCTAGTTCCTTCTATCCTTTTATATATTTTATATATATATCATTTTTTCTTTTGTATATTCATTGACCAAATTTATAAATGGGCATCATTCATTTAAATCTCTCTCACTCACTTTCGCTTTCTACAAACAAGTTTCTTTCACTTTCTTCTTCAAATAAACCACTCTTACTTTTTGTCTCTATATCTCTCTAATTTAAAGGTAATGTGATGTGAACTCGTGTAGCAACGATGGTTGCGAAACCCACAACTAAATTGAGACCAAATCTCAAGAACACCAACCACAAAATATGAACCAAGCAACCAATAAATGAATAAATTACCGATCTCTAGATCACACGATTTATGAATCTCACCCGGATTTGTGAACGCCACAAGATATTTAAATCATGAAGTTCGATTTAGTTCAATTTGTTCAATGAAGAACAAAGAATTGGAAACAAATTAGCCTCTCGAATTAAATTCTCAATATCAAAATCTTGTTACAATGAAAGAAATAATGATACTATTTATATTAAACATAGGAAACAGAGAAAAAAAAATGGAATCAAGACTCCTAAAACACATAAAGTTACCAAAATAAAGAATTCTAGACAAAATAAAACTCTCGTGTGAAAAGGTAAATTTTTCTCCCGAATTTGTTCCATGCGGCCGCATGGTTCACTTTGGTAGCCTCATTTTATTCCCTGCACGCCCCCATGCGGTTGTAAGGCTTTTAAGCTATGCGTTCACATAGCTTTATTTTTGAAACATCTTTCTTTGTGTGTAGAAATTCATGATGATTTCGGATTGTACTCATTGGCGAAAATTCAACACTCGAGCTAAAAGTTATGCCCGTTTTAATCCACCCTACTCGTATTTTCATATATCTTCTAAAACTTTGAATCCAACGCACCTAACATGATTTTGCCTTCATGACCAACATATAAGTTGTTATTTGGCTTGTTAACTTCAACATTTTGAACTCCATAGCTCAAACAAATAATTTGCATGGCTTGTTAGCTCGAATCTTGGTTTTGTAGACTACAATCAAACTCAAACCCTATCTTTAGCCTCTCGTCAACCTGCATAGAAGGCTCGTTGGTTCGTGGCTTATCTCGGTTCATATCATTCACTCTCTCTTCGAAAGGATTTGTCCTTGAATCTTGAACTTCAAGATCAAATTTATATCCAATGCTCTCAAGCTTTGCAATGTCATGGAATGGACCGTCTCCTCTTAGGTTAAGCTTTGATATTCTTTGTAATTGATCATGCCCATTTGTTGATTCTTCAAAGCCTAATCACCAGTTCTGAATAGCTTATGCCTCTTTCATTCAACAATCGATATTCTTTGAAATATGTTTCCTTAATAGTACTAAGTTGAAGTTGATATGTAACAAAGTTACCTTTAATCGAGTAGTGAAATTCGACAATTTAAACAAACAAAATTTTCAATGGAAAATCTAAACAATTGTTACCAACAATAATCGCATTCTATCAAGGTTCGTTTATTTAATGTGCCTCAAAAGTAATTGGTAAATCTACTAAAACTTCACTAAAGTTCCGTTTAAATCAATACCAAGCATGAACGCGTGAACAGGTTCTTCTGAATTAGAAAGCGACATGTTGTGACACTTTCTAACTAAAAGGTCACACATTGCGCATGTCACATTTTTTAGCCCCCTATTTGAACCTTATTATTTAAAAGCTTATTTTTCTCTAAACTCATTTTCAACAACATATTCTTATAA